ACCAAACTGGAGTCACCAAGGGGCAGAAATAGTAAGGTAGAAATGAGCCAGCATCATCCTTAGAAAAATACTGCAGAATGGAGCTAATCCTTCCAACCTTTGCCTACTCACTCACTGCTTCCAGAGTTTTATGAGATTCTTCGGAACTTTCTTTTTAGGAGAGTGGGTAAGCTCCCATTTTACTATTTTAATTAAGTGAAAAAGAGAAAACCAACATTTACAAGCGTCTCTTATGTGCTGAGAACTGTGCTAGTGCTTAGAAAATGTCATGTAATTTAATCTGTACATGAATTTCAGGAATATATTATTATCCCTGTTTTGTTGATATAAAATATGAAGTTCAGAGAGGTCACACAGTAACAAGTGGAAACAGCTGCTTCAAATCCTTTGTAAAATGAGCTAATGAACAAATGGATGGAAATGAAATTACGAAGCAAAGCTGGGATTCTAATCAGGTCTGCCTGATCACATATATGACCTTCAGGCTGTCTCGCACGTGGCATCTCTCAAACAGAATAGTCTCATCAGGTGAGCAGAACTCATGTGGTATAAGTCATATCTTTCAACTGATAAAGTTATACCCAAGTCATTTTGGGACAAGAGATGTTATCTGAGATGCTTTTGAACTCTGGCAATATAACTTATCCTCTCCTTTGTGTACCAAGGAAAGGGAATCTCCCTCTCTTCTCAGGCCTCACAGAGGAAGACCAGACATTGTAAGGTCTTGCACTCAGATCCCTCTTTCTATTCAGGTGCTTCTCACTGAAACAGATTTCACTACATCCAACTGGCTTGAGGTACACCAATCACCACAGATGACTCCAAAAGCAAATGGAACTAAACACTAGGTGATCTTGTGCCAATTACTTAACTCCTCTGAAATGAATGGTGCTTGCTATAGAGTCAGTGTTTGGGAATCATCTGTTAAAGGGTTGGTTAAATGAGGGGAGGATGAGTGGGTCACAAACCACAACAGTTGATACAGAGAAACAGTAGACATTTGGGCTGTTTTTCTGGCCATGTCCATAGTCATCAATCTGAGGGGTACAGAACCAGAGGAGGAAGGAGATTCCTTTTCTTGGGCTGTATCTTAGGAAATACGCTCTTGTTGCTGATCTTAATCTTCCTCAGCAGTCAGTCCGTCTATATTCCTAAACGTACACTGAGATAAACACATTTCTGAGCACATTAAAGAGACCTTATTAAAAGATAAAGACCTGAGGATTTGGGGTGGGCACCGCCTGTGCAGACAGGCCAAATAAATAGCAGTCCAAAGCCTGGCTAGAGACCCAGCTCTATCTCAGCATTTGTCTCACTTAGAGATTTCCCAGGCCAGGTCCCTCCCAGGGTCCTGTCCTAGTTAGGGCTTTGTTCTACTTTTCTGAAAGTAACTAAAAGCAAGCAATTCAGAAGCTGAGAACCATGGGGTTGGCAAGTACAAACCCTTAGGAAGAACATACACATTCAGGGTCTTTATTCATCAGTACTTGAGAACTAAGAGTACATTCACCCAAAGACAAAAGAGGTGAACTGCCTGGTCCACAAGTGGGATAAAAGCAGGACTACTATATTAATGACCATGGTATTGGATGACTGTTGTATTACCACCTTGTTTTTCATTCTTTAAGCCAAATGATCAGTGGCTTCATAGGCAGCTCATTTCTGTCACATTCAGAATCCCACACCAGCCTGCAAACCAATTTCCTGGAGATATCGGGAGTGGCCTGTACATTTTATAACTCCTGAATTGTGCCTCTCATCAAAGAACCAGGAAAAAGGGTCAGCCACTACCCAAGGAGCCAGGAAAAGATAACTTTTTTTTTTTTTTTTTAAATAAAAGATCCCACTTGGTGGGAAGCAGAAGGAACAATACTACATAACGATCTACAATGAAAAAATTCTCTCTACAAAAGAATTCAGACTCAGAGAGAATATACTATATGATTTCATTTACATAAAGTACAAAATTAGACAAAGGTCTCCCATGGTTACAAGTCAAGAAGGAGGCAATACTAATTAGAAGAAGCATGAGGAGAGCTTTGAGGGTTGCTTGATAATATTTTATCAAAATATGGGTACATGAGTGCTTTCATTTTGTGATAATTCAAGTTGTGCAGTTAAGAATTTGTGTGACTATCTACATGTCTTTTATACATAAATAAAATGACTTAAATTTCTTAAAAATGACTCTTCAGAGACAGAAAGTCTGCTTGCTGCTGCTGCCTGCTTGCAGAATCCAATGCATGCATGCTGCACAAAAGACTTTAAAAAAACGAACTAACCCATGGCCTCTTTTCTCACTTTCAAATGGTTGTTTCAGTTTTCAAACTCAATAAGAGGTGTTTTTTTTGGTTTTTTTGTTTGTTTTTGTTTTTGTTTTTCCCAGTCTGAATATCACTGAATTTCAGGGCCTAATCAAGCCCTTTTCTGCACTTGGCTTATCTCTGGATGTGCCAAATTCTGCCTGTGATCCCATAGAGAGATCCTTGGGCCTCCCAGGACTGACTCAGAGGAGAGCAGAGACACAGGGAGCCCAGGCTAAGTTAAGCAACTTTCTCCAGATTACACAATGAGTTGCTAGTGGGGGGCCTTCTCTGTCCAAGGATTATCACTTTCCTACTACATCTCATTCCACAAGGGCCAATTAATAAACACTCTCCTTCGGGTAACTGAGGAAAATGAGCCCAGGGAATGTCACTGGTCATTCTTTGAATACAAAGCACATACAGGGGTTGACTGGGTTCCTCTCCAACAGGAAACCATTTGTCTCAGAGAGCCAGGAAGAGGAGGAGGGAAGTGCTGAGTCTGCAACAGGGCATTGCAACATAGCCCAGTGTTTCTGTGGAAATGATGTTCTCCTAATCAAAACACAGTTGCATAAATGAACTCACTCCACTTAAAAAAGAATAAAAAACTTAAAGCCTATAAACAGGGACTATACAACCCTGATTAATAATTTTAAAGTTCTTTCTCCACTTTCTTTTTTAGAAAGTAGCTAAAAATAAAGGCTTGAAACTTGAAATAATGTAAGCAAGTAATCACACACATGCACTGGGCTTTTCCCATATATGGCTGCGTTATTCTTCAGCCTTTGAAAAGGCCAAATGAAGAGATGGCCAACAACCAAAATAATCTTCAGACATTTGAAAACAAGGAGAAAAAAACTAGAAGAGTCGATGAATGACAAACAATTGCAAGGCTCAATGGGGGTAAAGAACACTGAGAGGGATTAGTTGCCATAGTACTTTAGAAACATGGGCACATGCACTTTGACACTGGACCCCTTCTATAAAGAGATCATTTTGCCCTCTGGCCTCAACACTGAGAATACTACAACTGTGATAATTTAACATAAAGGACTTAAAGAAGAAAACCAGTGCAGGGGCATGACTGAAAATTTAATTAAGGCCCTTCTCAGTATGAAATCTGTAAAGGAGATGAGGGCATATCCCAAGGTCAGAAGGGAAGGAGACATGTGAAAAAGGGAAGAGGCTGAGGATTTGAATGAGATTCAAGAGCGAAAAAAGCAGAGGTTGACTCCAGAGGACTGATTCCTTATGATGGAAGATTAATTACAGTGTCTGTTGGGTCCTACTTGAAATGTTTCTGTAGAAAAGATGAATACATTCATATCAAATAAATGCCACCTTTGTGAGGCAGGCTGGAAAGGTCATATTTGCACAGTGTTTTATGGTTTACAAAGCCTCATCACAGACATAATCCCGGATACAAGGTAAAGCACCCACTTGTATGATATGAAAACTGAGGCTCAGGGATGGTAAGGGACCTAACACAAGGTCCATGGAGGGTAACTTAGTGCAAGAGGGCCGCAGTAGCGATTCGAAGCTAACTCTCCCAACGTGTGGGCCAAGGGTCTTTCCATTCACAAAATCTCAGAAAGAGCACTGGTCAGAGTGCCAAGTTTAGGTCTGAATTTTTGCTCATCCATTACCTTTCTCTGTGACCACAAGCAGGCAAGTAATTGCCTCTCTTCTGATTCTCATCTGCAACTGGAAAATGATAGGGCCGTCCTAGATGACAGGAGGTGGGTGGTGGGGAGGCAGGGAGAGACAGACGTGAACCAAGTGAGTCACCCTGGTCTCTGCACTCATCTGTGAGTCTGTCCTCACAAATCCCCAGGTGAGACTCGGACAGTGTCACCGCTTCACGCACAGAGATAGTCTTCCTGTTATAGACTGACGGGCATCCACCGAACCTAGAGAAATGATTTCCAAAAAGACTAGAAAACCTCTTCGATCCTCCAAGCACATAGTAAAAAAAATTACTGAAGAGGCAACATGAATTCTAAGTTTTCATTCTACTATTCATTTCCTTTTCATTCTCAATGGAATAAACCTTCCTTAGGATGCTTCAGATTCTTTTCCTGAAAAGACACTCCACTTTTTGGTGACACTGCACACTTCTAATGGTTTTCTCAGGCATGCCTATAAATGCCTTGTATTTGGCTACGGAGTCAATAATAACAAACACAGCAAGCATCATATTTATTGAGGGGGCTGTGACAGGCCAGTCACTGTTGCTGAGCCCTTTTTACATATCATCCCTAATCTCTACAACGAGGTTGGTATTATTGTCTCTATTTTATAAATAAGAAAACTAAGGCTCACAGAAGTTGAGTGACTTGGCCAAGGAAGGCCATCTTAATAACTCACGGCTGAGTTTAAACTGCTGGCTAGCTGATCCTGACACCTAGTCTTTCTTTTTCTCTTCCATTATGAGATCTCTAGTCAACATGCTAATGCATCAAAGATTCTGGATAATGCTGCTCTTTCATGATTTCTTCTTGTCACCATCTCGCAGAATGAAATACCTTCTACATGGTCATGAAGCATTCCCACTGAAATTCCAGGGCAGCTGGAGGGTAAGCAGGGTAGAGGCGAGGTGGGCTGGGTTGATGGCATGTAAAATGACCCCAAATGCTTCCCCCTCCACCACTGGGAACAGGTCCAGAATTATGATTTCACTTCCAAATCACTAACCTGGTGAGGCACAAGCCCAAGAGAGGTTGGAGGCTCATTCATGCGGTCATCACTGCTGCTGGCAATAGCATAGCCCCTGAGAAAAGGAAACAATTAAAGCAGCTCATTTAATAAAAGTTTATGTTTAACACATGTGAGGATGATCTGGCGGCAGTCCATGTAGATTTATAAAGATAAGCAAAATGTCCCTTGCTAGGAAGTATAAGCCAGCAAGAAACTGATTTCCCTGTCAGAGAAGGCAGAAGAGTATTAAAAAAATGCCTGACAGGTTTTGGAGTCAAAAAGACCAGAACTTTTGATCATAGGCAAGTTGCTTCAGGTCCATCATCTATAAAATAGGACTAAGACGGTTGTGAGAGATAAACTGGCAATAATTAGATAAATTGCTGAGTGTAATGTCTGGCACATAGTCACTCCCTTACTTTGAAATAGTAAAACACCACAGAACATTTTTGTATTGGAATTTGAAATAGAAAACTTTCCAACCTTAACTTCTTGAGGTGATGTAAATGCTACCAAAATGGAGGAAGGAGAAAGAAAAGTGAGGAACTAATTGGGCAGGAGAACAAATACATTTTTTCCTAAAAAACGGTGTGGTGTTTGCTTATGGCACAGAAGATATGTGACAGCACCTGGTTTCAGCCTACGACCAAGGCAAATATGGAAGACAGGGTGGTCAGTGTCAGGAAATCATAGAATCAGCTTTCCAAGATTTTCTCCCAGATACTTCCTATGAAGAGGCCACACTAAACTTAGATGGCAGAAATAGACAAGGGAGATGACAGAGATGAGCAAAAGATAGAAAAAGCTGCTTGTTTTCATTTAATTCTGGAGTATCTATACTAGTTACATATATTATCAACTTTGTACAGAGACCATCTTTTCAAACATGTAGAAAAACTCTGAGTCTCACAATAAATAGAATAGTCATGTTAATTTCTGTGAATTACTAAAATAAATCTTTCAAAAATTCAATTCTCCCCGGCTTGTATTACCAACAGAATAGCAGAGTCATTAAAAATAGAGTTTGGAGCCAAATTGGCTGGGCTAACGCCCAGCTTTACCACTTATCAGCTATGTGAATTTCAGCAACTTATCCTCTCCATGCCTCAATTTCCCCATTAAAAATAGGACTAATAATAGTTCTTTCTTTAGGCTTGTTATGATGATTAAATGAGCTAATATTTGTAAAGTGCTTAGAAGTGTTTGAAAAATAAAATTAGAGTATATTTGTCAAATACTCAGGTGTAAATATTTGTTTGACCTGAGTCTGTCTTTACCATCTGACATTTAACAACATAGTCTCAGGCAGCTATTGAGAGACTCTTCAATTGTACAATCTTTCTTTTTTGTTTCTTTTCCTTTTATTTACTTTTCTCTTCCTTCTTTCTTTTTTAAATTACTGACTCTTTTAAAAATTAGTTTAATTTTTGCCTCACTTCTATTTATGACAAGATGAATTAATTCTATTGTAAGCCATAAAGATTTTTCTCCTTGCTTGGAGAAGATAGGGTGTCCAGATCAAGACTGTACAAATTTGGTATCTTTAATATAACATAAATACAATATGTTAAACATAAAGACTAAAAGGTCCAAGTCAAGTTGAAACAAAAAACACCAGTCCACTCATTTCTTTCCTTTCACATGTAAACATAGTATAAGTGCTTAATACATTAAGAGATTTTTTAAATTGTTATTTTTAAAGGTGTTATTTGTGGGCTTCCCAACTTAGGCCCAGCAGAATGGCTCCCACAAAGAAGGGTGGAAAGAAGAAGGGCTGTTCTTCTATCAATAAGGTAGTGACCAGAGAATACACCATCAACATTCATGAGCGCATCCATGGAGTGGGTTTCAAGAAGTATGCCCCTTGGGTACTGAAAAAGATTCAGAAATTTGCCCTGAAGGAGATGGGAACTCCAGATGTACGCATTGATACCAGACTCAACAAAGCTGTCTTAGCCAAAAGAATAAGGAATGTCCCATACCATATTTGGGTATGGCTGTCCAGAAAACATAATGAGATGAAGATTTACCAAACAAGCTCTATACATTGGTTACCTATGTATCTGTCGCCACTTTCAAAAATCTATAAATAGTTGACATAGGTGTCGATTGTCAAATAGTTATAAAACTGCAAATATAAATGAATGAATGGATGAATGAATGAATGAAAATAAATGTGGTACTGGTGGACTAGGTGGTCAGGATCAACCTTCCCATGAGAACAAACAGAAAAGCTCAACAAAGTAGAAAAACCTTTGTTTGAAACTATCGGAGAGCTACTAAGGTAGGGAAGAATTGCAGAGCCAAGATCTGTGAGAGGAGAGAAGCACATGGAGGTAAACCAGGTATGTGCAAGAGAAGCATTCTTCCATAAAGTGACTGCCAACCTCCAAAAGCAGTGTGCACAGGATCAGTAGCTGAACAGTGATACTGACAGGCTCATGGGGCTAGAGGGAAAAACTAGAGTTTAAGGTTTGCCAAGAAGAAGGAACCATGGAAAATACCCCAGGCTTTGAACTGGGACCACTGGGAACTACATCCTCAGAGCAAGGGTGAACCAGAAATAGACAAATTTTAATTGTACTTAGGTATTCTAGGACTGACAGACCAGCCCTGGACTGCCTGCCTCTGGGCTTCTTGATGCATAAGAAAAATAAAGCCCCATTGGCTAATTCATTGAAGATGGACCTCTGTTACATACAACCAAGTGCAATTTCTATCATATGTTATTCATCTGTTGCCTTACACATGATCAGGGCTAAGGAGATCAAATCTTACTAACAGAATAAAAACATAAAGGTCCTAAGGCCCCTACCAATATTTTTATTCTTCTGTATTATCAGTTACCAAATACTCTAGGAGAGTTCAATTTCAAAAGGATGCAGAGATGTACCCCCAAAGATTGCATGGCATGTTCTCCCAGGCCAAAGAATGAGACCAGGTTTTTTCAGTCTTGTTTTTTTGAAGTCAGAAAGAGCAACATAATTCTCAGAAGAGTCAGACTGAGAAAAGGCCAAGGGAGATACAAAAGCTTTTTTTGTTTAAATATACATGTCTAAACAGCAAGCTTACCCTTCTGGATGTTGCAAAACAGAGACCATCAATTCCACTGCCAGGGCTCCTGCAATCATGGCCAGTCCTGGACGACTCACAGTGCACTGCTGGTCCAAGGTCCGGTCTCTCGTTGACTACAGAGAGAGATAATCATTGACACGTGCTCAAAGTTCTAGTCCACTCAACTCTAGCTATCTGAAGCATGAAACTGCTATGATAAAGCTATACAATATAACTGTTGGCAAAGAACATTCAGCTTCAAATACTATCATTTCTTATAAGTGCCAGGAACAACAAAATATAGAATTTAGGTAACTAAATGAGGTAATGTGCTAAAAAGGATTGGCAGTTATAAGCAAATTAAAGATTGGGGGTCCAGCCGCTTCATATACGGAGTTGCATGATGTGCCTGTTAACTGATTCAATTCAACTCTACCGTGCTTGGTGCTGAGAGAGACACTGACAGGAAAAATTTGATTAGCATAAACGATTCTGTCCTGCCATATAAATTAAACTAATGCCTCAGAGCGTCTGAGATATGGGAGCAATATTTTGCTATTCCTGCAGCCCTCAGTTCCTATGTGCCTCTCACAGTGTAGGCATTCTGTCATCCTGAGTGTGATCCCAGGGCTTAAATATAAGTATTTTTGCTACAACATGGCTCCAAACACAAGCCTTCATTAGTCCAACCAAAGAAATTCTAATCCTCCAGAAATGCCAGGCAAATTAAGGGGCTGTTACGGATAATTTTGACTCTGAAATTTTCATTCACCTTATGAATGAATGTGACTTTACTATAATTGACCCTTAATCCTATTAGTTGTTAAAAATGAAATAACAGGACCAGCTAAGAATTATAATACCACAATGGAGATCATAAAGCCATCTTTCTTCACATAAGAGTTTATCTTTTTTTGCTTTACACTAAGAGGACACAAAAGCTAGTCATCCAAAAGAGGTATGAGTTATTAAGGAACAAGTTTTAAAAGAAGAGAAAAATGGAGGGGAAGGAACAGAAAACACCTCTGCTTTGTTTCACTAGAAGTGATTATCTGTTCTAATGAAAGACCATTCCTACAGACTCTGTCTGGTGTGGTAGCATTAACACTATAAAATCTTACATCTGAACAGTGTACTGCTTGCTTACTGTTCAGAGTACTTTCACATTTGACCACCTTGCACTGTGAGTTGTCAGGGAAAGTATTCTTCCCTCCCCTACTGGAGTTAGCAGATAAAATATAAGATATCCAGTTAAATTTAAATTTTAGATAAATAATGAATAATTTTTAATATAAGGAGGTCTCAAATATTACATGGGATGTATTATACTAAAATATTTTTCATTATTTACCTGCAATTCAAAGTTAACAGGGAATCCTGCATTTTTACTTGCTAATCCTGACCAGCTTATGGGCCCCAGCCCCACTCCACAGAATTACAGGGAGCCAAAGAGACTTATTTGCAATTACCCCATGAGGCGGTGTTCAAGCCTGGACTAAAATTTCAGTCTTCAGACTCCTCATTTTATGCTCTCTTCACTAACATATGCACAGGAGACAGTGTTGAGCACAGTCTAACCAGCAGTTTCCTTGCTGAGCTTTGCACAAAAATGGTTTGTTGCTGCATTTTTATTGGTGAATAGGGAACAACTGTACACAACTGATGATGCCAATCAAGGCTCACAGTGGGATAATGCCATCCCCCAAACTAGAGAATTCTTCTCTTTGTTAAAAGACAATATTTAAATAGTCATAAAGGAAAGAGTTGAGTCTCTGCCCTAGTGGGCAAGATGGCTGTAGGAAATATTTGGAACCACAAAAAATCTACTTACATCTCCCGGGGCCACCACATCATTACAGAAATAGCAGCCAAGTTTGTAGCCAGGGATGTTGGCAAAAAGTGACGAGCCCAGAAGGTCAGCAGCTACCACTGGGTGGCTGGGACACAAGTCCCCAGCCCCCTGCTGCTTAGGTTTCTTCAAGCCGTGTCTCATGACAACAAATGTGTCAAAGCCCAAGGCAGCATTGATGACCAGCTATGGGTTTCAAGGAATAAAAGATTAGAGTTAAGGGACACTTGTATTTTAACACTTGGCTAATTTCATATTTGATCAACTTTTAAAATTTATTTTATACATATATGCATATGAATGAAATTAGATTCTAGATGATAATGTTGGTAAAAACTACCCAATACTGAGGGCTTATTAAGTGCAAAAGACTTGACAAGTGATTAACATAAATTATCTCATTTAGTTTCATTTAAAACTCCCAGCAAACATTTCCTGTTTACAGATGAAGATGCTGAAAGTCAGAGAAGTTACTTCTATAACCTCAAAGTAACTTAGCTGGTAAGAGGTAGGATTATAAAACTAAGTCTCAATACTTCTCAAACCCCTTCTTTCCATCATTATGCTATCATCTGTCATACCTATGTTGATTTTTTCATAACAGCTTTATTGAGATAGAATTCACATACTATATAATTCACCCTCCACATAGATTTTTAAGGACAGTTTATTTCATTTGTACTATAAGAACTTTTCTTAGTTGTAATTTAACTTATTCTCCCAAATTTCTGATTATACAGAAAGTTGGAAAAATGAAGAAAAACTAACAGAAAACAAAAATCACTCACAATTTCACAGCTCAAACCATTACTATTAATAGTTAGAGATATTTCTTCCTGTTATTGTCTCCCTTTCTCTCTCATTCTCTCCTTTCATTTCTTACTTCTTCTTACCTCACCCCGACACAGATTTAAATGTTTACATATAAACATAACTGATATAAAATATATACAATATTATATCTTGTCTATTTAACACAATGTGGTATTTTCCATGTTATTAAAATTTTTTGAAAACATAACCATGAATGGCTGCATATTATTCTATCACATGTATGTATTGTGATTTATTTAACCATCAATACTGTTGGCCCTTGAAGTTGTCACAGACCGAATAGTAGTGAATAAGACAAAGTCTTTGTTCTCTTGGAGCTTACATTTTAGTGTGAGTACTGCTTCTAGTATAGAGTACTTCAAAGGGTTATAAAAATTAAACAGTAAAGGAAAACTTATTATGTTGGATGATGGTTTTGAGACAGTCTGCAGTGGAAGCTCTTTAACATTATGTCACTAAGTCATACAAAGTACCTCTTTTCTGGAGGGAGGGCCGGTTGGGGACACTCCTCCTTCTAGGGTGATGGTGCATTGAATCACAACCAGAGACAAGAGCCCCACACTGTACCTTTCTCTTGCTCGCAGCAATGACAGCAGGAAGCCACCGGCTCTCCCTGGTGTCCATCAACAGAAAGACAATGTCATGGCTATCGATGAGCTGCTCCAGCTGTTCCACATCCCTGCGGGCTTGCTCCAGGGTGACACTGGAGAAGTTCACTGGATGTCCAGGCATGGGGATGCTCATGTTGAACCCTCTGGCATTCTAAGGAAACACCCAGATATAGGGATGTCTGAAGCAGAGGTTTAGGTGGTATCTCAAAGCCCATGTCTCCCCATAGCTACAAGCATGTATGCATGGTCACTTGCACCAGAAATTTCTCTCTGCATGATTACCCTTTTTCCTTTTGCTACCATGACTTCCACTTTCTTCACCTCTGCATCCTAGACCTCCTTGGCCTGTTATCCCAGGATCCCTAAGGCTGGATAAAGCAGCAAACAGAGACATATGAATCCTAGTTTCAAAGTGGGCAGGGGCCACTTCCCATCTGAGGCAAGGAAAACACTGGGGAAAACTGTATCTTTGGCTCTTTCCTATAATCTGAGGCCAAAAAAACTTCACCAAAATGCCTTCTGCCTGGGCAAATCCTCTCCATCCAGCCAAGCTGTCTCTTTCTACTTATTCCCCAAACTTTTCCTCCTCTCCATTTTCTTAGTGTATAACATCTCCAAATGGGATGTTATAACAAAAATCACTTAAGATTACAATGATTTATAGTCTTGCCTTAATCTTCTTAGGGCTATGTGGTAATGAAGTGCTAAAATGAAACAAAGCCTCATCCCCTAACCAAAAGAAGTTGCCCAGTAACCTGGTTCTCTTCATGAAGTGTGGGGACTCAACATTTTTCACAGGAGCTTTAGAACAGCTCTGTAATTTACCATTTTCCCTGGATGGCCCCATAGGGTCTTGGCAGATTAACAGCGAGTCACATATGAGTGTCAATGAAGCCATAGACATTAACTTTCCACAGAAAAGAAAATGTTTTAGAATCACGAACTGTACCCTTAATCTCTTTATTAGAGCTGGCCATAGGAAGTATATGAAAACATCAGCTTTTTCAATTCATTTGTCAAAACCCCTTACCTACTGGAAAAATGGTTCAAGGGACAGGGTAAGCAGGTCCTCTTAAAAAGGAAAATCTATTTTGAACACTGAGCTATTTTCTCCTAATCTTAAACTTTAAACCTAATCTCTGGAATTCAAGAAAGGGACAATAGTAACAACAGCAACAATTTAAAAAAGAATAAAGAAAAAAGTTGCAAGCAAAGCAGAAAATGATGTCAGGCAGAAAGGACTTTAGAAAGAAGAAAGGTTCAAAACAAGTCCAATTTAACAACGAGAACATCACAAAAACAAATCTCAGGACCTCATTCATTCATTCGTTATGGTGCACCTACCATGTATCAAACACTGTAACAAACAATAAGAAATACAACAACCGCAGTAATAACAACTTACTATCTTATTACAATTGACAAAGCATTTTAAATGGCAGTAACTTGATCGAAAAAGGTATTATTTAGGTATTTTAATGATGATTAAAGCATAATTACTCAATACCAATTCTGACCTTTTGAATAATACAGATCCTCATTCACATCCACTCTACTAACCTAAATAATTCTCTGCTCAATAAAATTTCAGCTGTAAACCTACATTTAGGGCTGGCTCTTGGGCCACCATTTAGGTCCACATGCCCAACACTGAAATTCAGCAAGTTTCAACGTAGTAGGTTTCAACCTTGGCTGCACATTAGAAACACCCAGAATTTTAAAATTTCCTAATGTCAGGCTTTTCTCCACACCATTTAAATAGAAATCTCTGAGAGTGGGCCCAGCCATCATTATTGTCTAAAACTCCCAGATGATTCAATTGTGTAGCTCAGGTGAAGTATAACTTACAGAAAGTGAAATACCCAGATCTCAAGTGTACAGACAGTTCAACGTGTTTTGACAAATTGCAGGTTAACCACTGCACACATCTATCACGATACAGGACATTTCCATTACCCCAGAATGTGCTCTTACGTCTCTTCCCAGTTAATCCTGCTACTCTGCTACTCCCTACCTGCACTGGACAACCACTGTTCTGACTTTTTAAACTCTAGATTAGTTTTGCCGGTTCTCGAACCTCATATAATGGCATTCTGCGGTATATATTTACTTGTTTGTGTTTGGCTTCTTTTGCTCAGCACAATGCTTTTGAAGTTCATCCATATTGTTAAGTATCAATAATACGTTCCTTTTTGTTGTGTGGCTATACCTCAATTTGTTCATTCACTTTCTTATTGATAGTTATTTGGGTTACTTCTAAATTTTAACTATTATGAATAAAACTACTATGGACATTCTTGGGTAAGTCTTTTAGTGCAGGGCCGTAGACCGGTACCAGTCCGTGGCCTGTTAGGAACTGAGCTGCACAGCAGGAGGTAAGCAAAGCTTCATTTGTCTTTGTAGCCGCTCCCCAGCACTAGCATCACTGTCTCAGCTCCATCTCAGATCATCAGGCATTAGATTCTCATAGGAACACTGGTCCCTGGTGCTAAAAAGGTTGGGGACTGCTATTTTAGTCTATGTACATTCTCATTTCTCTTAGGTAAATAGCTAAAAGTGGAATTTCTGGGTCATTAGATAGGTGTGTTTTCAGTTTCACAAGAAACTTCCAGACTGATTTCCAAAGAGGTTGTTTTATCAGCAAACTATGAAGAGTTCTGGTTGCTCCACATAGCCTAAGAGCACTTAGCATTGTCAGTCGTTTTGATTTTAGCTGTTTTAGTGAGTAGTGATATATCTTTGTGGTTTTAATTTATATTTCCCTAATGACTATTGATGTTGAGCATTTTCATGTTCGTTGGCCATTTATAGACCTCCACTATGAAATAAGTGCCTGTCCAAGGCTTCTGTCTCTTAAAAAAATGGTTTGTCCATCTTATTATTGAGTGATAGGAGTTGTTTATATATTCTGGATAAAAGGTGTTTGCCAAATATACCTACTGTATTTTCTGTTTTGGCTAGCCTTTTCATTCTCTTAATGGCATCTTGAGAAGCAGAAGTTTTAGATTTTGATAAAGTCCAAGTTATCCATTTTCTCACTTATGGTATTTACTAGGTCCCAAGAAATCTTTGCCTATCACAAGATCACTAAGCTGTTTGTTCCTGTTTGCTTTGCAGTTTTAGCTTTTATGTTTAGTTCTATGGCCTTACTGGGGTGTCGCTTAAGGGCTCAGAGTATTCAATGATGTCTCTCCCTTCTGGACAGGTTTGACTCCAATGTCCCCCAGCTCCGTTGGAGCTCTGGTATCTCCATTCTCACAGCAGAATGGTGGTGCTTTTTGCCCAGCCTTACAAAGTCATGTCCTGAGCATGTACAACCTGATATTCAGTCAAAGACTCAAGGTGCTTCCTAGACAGTTTTTTGTAACTCCCTCTCTGCACAGCTCCCACATGTTTGATATTCTGCCTTGCAAATTCCAGCCACTTTAACTGTTCTGAACTGTGATCTCAGTATCCTCAGCTCACCAAGATCAAGAATATCCCATGGTCTCTGGCATGGGTCAGAAAGTACCTTCATGCAATAAGTTGAGACAAACATTCTTTCATGCCTTTCTGTCTAGGATCAAAGTATTTCACTGACTACAGTTCACTGACTAAAGAGAGTCATTTTATATATTTTACCCAAATGCATAATTGTTTATGGTAGAACTAGCTCAATATCAGTTACTCATCAGGGTTAGAAGCAGATATCAAGAGGTGGGTTTAAAAACCTTTAGTGTGGCTCCATAACCCTACATTTTCTTGCCTTACCTTAAAGAAAATGGTTGTTTCAAATAGCTATTTAATTTATTAAAGGTCAGGATTTCTTCCCTGTTCAATTAATTCAACCTCAAAATTAGGCATGGTATTTATAGCAGAGTGGTTCTTTTCATGTCTTGTTCACTTAGGACTAGGCTTCTGGCCATGGCCTGATGTAAGGAAAGTAATGACTAAGTATCTGTTCAATGAAAAAACTACACTAAATTGAACATATAGAGAAAATGTTCTTTATGAGTATGCCTGGCTAACCAATACATAAAACAGTTTCCCAAGTACTTTTCATGAATATGATAAATTATACTAGTACTCTGGTGGGTTCTGTGGCATGAAGGATAAAAGTATAAGAGACCTGGCACCTGGGCTCAAGGGCTTCATAATCCAATCAGGGAAATAAAGTAATATGATGTAAGTGCTAAAGAAAAGGCTTGAACCTGGTGGGCTGATATTTTCAAGAAAAGCTGAACTTGATCTCGAAGGCCCAGTATGATCTGGTCCTTGCTTCTACCCCAGACTCTCGTCTGTCTTTCTTGATCTCTATGCTTCAGCCACTCTGGTTTTCTTTCAGTTCCACAGAAGCAGCACGCTGCTTCCCACCTCAGCTGTTTGTACTGAGAGCTCTGCCACCCTTAGTCTAGCTAACTTATCCTTCAGGATTTAATTTCCTCAAGAAGTCTAGTCTAGGTAAAGGCTTCCTGCTAAACATTCTCATGTCAACTGAGCTCCTGCTTTGTGTACATATTACAGTTATAATTATTTGTGAAATTAGTTGTTAACAACTGTCTCCTCCGCTACATTATAAGCTCCAAGTGGGTGAGGGGGAACTTTGTTTGTCTTATTCCCCAGTCCCTACACAGAGTAGGCCTTAAATATTTGATAAATGAGTAAGTAATAGAATAACAACAAATAAATAGGGGAAATTGCATTGGTTCATAGACAATGGCTAGGATTTGGGCAAGCCAAAATCTCAGGCAACAAAAAAATGGCAGAGCTCAGATTCAAAGTCAAGTTTGTCTGGGCCCCAAGGGTAGTTCATAATACTTTTCAGTGACAGACTGGATTATTTTTCTCGAATATGCACTGCCTCCCTCTAATAGAATTCTATATCCATGCCATTTGCTATATGACTTTGCAGGACATCCAACTAGGGAGGCAGAGTATACTAACCAATCACATTGACTTTGAGTGTGGCCCTATGACTTACTCTGGCAATGGAGATGGAGGACATTGCACAGTGCCATTACTGAGCTGAGACTTTAAGTGGGGTATAAGTATGGAAAGTTTTCACCAATGCTTTTACATTTCCACCTTTTACCATAAGAGCAGGACCAGATGGCTGTTTGCTCCTTGAATCTAGATTCTGAAATAATGACATATAGAGGAGACTGGAACCTGACTCGAAGCCTGGAATCCAGCCTAGCTCAGCAGCTAAACCATAGCCAACCTGCAGATCTGTAAGCATAAAATAAATATTTATAATTGTAAGCTACTGAGATGTTGGGATGTGTGATATGCAATACTGTTGCAGCAGAAACCTAAATAATATGCCTCCTCAATGACAGGGTTGTAATTTATTATTTCTTTTGGCATTCAGCACCTTGCTGGATACATAGTGGGTGCTCAATCAATACTACTGAATTAAATCCAATAAACAACGTTCCTCAGGTACACTAGTTTTGTTCGTATGAACAAAAAAAGTTACCTCTAAAGCAAAGATTTCTAAAATGAATGAATAATGAGTGACTAAACAGAACTTTGAGAAAGCAAGCTTTTTTTTTTAGCGAGGGCTGAGAGCTTCTTGTGGCACTTTAAGTATGAGCAGGTGCTTCAGAGATCCCTAATCTAACCTCTGTCAGATAAATTGATTAAGCATGCAAGATACAGAATCTCGTTTACTGGATAGACCTTAAAAAAAGCTGCCAAGATTTTGAATCAAATGAGCTGAATGACTTGTCTCTTATTATCTGGTGTTTTCAAGTAAATGATCCAACTAAAAATATGAAGCAGCTAGAGTAAAAAGCTAAATATTTAGCTCAACCTTTCTTCTGCACAGACTTTTATTCAATTTAATTTCATAAACCTATTCTAAGTATCTTTACATACTGGTGATAAAGAAAAAATAATATCCTTCATCTGAGCCACCATAAATCCCTTTGGAACAAGGCAGGACATAAAAATACATACCCCCAAATTCCTCTACTTAAAGTCAGATAATGCTCTGTAACTTACAAAACATTTTTCATACACTCTTCATTTAATTTTTACAATAATATAGAGATTTTGTTTTGTGTTTTAATCCATATCTCTGAGATGAGGGAACAGAGGTTCAGCCACATGATGAAGGCCTGGTAGTTAAGTGACAGATGTCTGACTGTCTTTCACCAATACTGCAGGGCCTCATTCCCCAAGACTTAAACATTAAAGACATAGGAGACAACTTCAACATACCACTCCGGGGAATATTCTCTGGAGCCGGTCTGCTGCAGCCAGGGCCTTGGCCTTGCCACCTGCTAGGCAATCTTCAAATTCATAGAGAGGCTGCCTCACAGGATTGGAGTAGGAGATCTTGGCATTGTCCACAAATGTGATGTGTCTGACGCCCCACCCCTGTATGAAAACAGTTGATCATGGTATGTTTCTGATGAACGTTTCACAGTGTGTCTCTCTTGAAATCTCTAAAGGGGTTTTGCTTTGGAGCAGCTTAGGAACCTCAAAATACAGGAAACTTTGGAAACTGAATTGTGCAAATTCTGTTTCGATAAACAGAATAGCAACTTCTTTTAAAAGAAAAAATAATTATATACTCAGTGCCTGGTTTCTTGTAAGAAATGTCAGAGTGGCTCTAATAATTCATTGTGCTTGACGGTGGTACCAGAAAAAAGATTTTGAGGTGAGTCTCATAAGAACTGTCTATGTTGCTGTCTTAAAAGAATTAGCAATACCCTCCAATATCTTTGGTTTCTCTTAAGGAATAATTAAGTATAAATAACAGTTCATCTTAAAACTCACTTAAAACCTGAATTAACTCCTCAGAGAAATGATTTACAAGTTATTTCCCACTGCTTAACACTGCAGAAAATTTTGTATTATTTCTCCAAGAGGCAAAAGCCTTAATAATCTAGAATTTATATTCTCAGAAATAGTTTTCATGACTTCATATACTTCAATTACATTTCCTATAAAGTCTTATAAAACCACACAATTTTAAAGTTAGATAGGATCTCTAAAATCCTTAGTCCTATTATTTTGTTTAACAGATATGGAAACTAAAGCCCAGAAAAGATAAGTGACTCACCTAAGGTCATAAATCTAGTTAATAGCAGGGAAGGAATGAGATCCTTAGCGTTGGAAGCAAATGAAGATGCCAACTTTGGGGGCCGGCGGGGAGGTTGAGGTGGTGGTATGTGTATTTCAGTATATCATAAATAAGTATAATGATCTAAGAGAAGCTCTAACATGATTAGCTATAAAGCTAAGCTTCTGCTCTCTTATTTCAATATCCATCAATTAGACTGATGATTCTAGGGAGACAATCAATGAAGACCCAAGATTTGTTTACAGGGTTGAGAAAGTCAGGCCAGAATCCATCCTTTTAAAAGCCTAGTTTAGATTGGCTATTTATTCTGAGGCCCACTGGTAACTTTTTGATCTGCTCATCCAGTGTTATCAGTGACTTTCACCAGCTAAGTAATCTACAATGGACGGGGAATAAAGGTATGGAAAATTCAAAAGTCACTTGTGCTTGGTTTGGAAATATTTATTTCTGAAGTATTTTTGCATTCCTTAAGGCGATGCTGAGTGGATAACAAGGAAGGCAGTCTGGGAGCATGCTGGGCAGTGAGAAGAATGCCAGATAAATTATAATCATGCCATAGGTTAGTCACATGCAGGTAGACTTTCACACTTAACTTTTGGCTTCCTGGAAAGCTACACAGTTTAAATGGCTAATCTGCAAAGATTAAAACATTACAACACACAATGCTGGTGAGGACGTGGTAGTGAGAAACCTGTTTTACTGGTTGAGAATGTAAACTGGTATAATTTTTCTGGGAAGCAATTTGCAATGTTTCTAGAGTCTTTAAAATGTTCACATCCTCCGACCTACTTTCAGCAATCTATCCTAAGGAAATGCATTTAGCAATCTCTCCTAGGAAATAATCTAAAATACTGACAAAGATGTTCTCTGCAACATAATTTATAGTTATGTAAAAATTTATACTTATGTAAATAATTGGAATTAATATTAATACTTAACATTAAGGGAATGTGTCAGTAAATTGTTTCATTATACAAGAAGGCATATTCTAAAGCCATTAAAAAGGCCTAATAAGCATCTTTTCTAATGTCATGGGAAAGTGTTTACAATGTTCATTGATAAAAACAGAGGACAGTATTATACATTAAATAAAGTTTTAAAATATATATTAAATAAACACTGAAAGGAAGTAGGCAAAGAAGTTATAGGAAAATGGGTACCTTCTTCTCCTGCTTAATAACTTTTACACTTTAGAAATTTTCTGTAATAGGTCCATACTGACTTTGTAATTTTAAAAAATGTTAAGAAAACATAAGCATCTAATTCTAGAAGCTAGGAAAATAACAATAAAATATATTCCACGAAAAGAGAGAAAAATTAATAAAGATAAAAGATATTAATGAATCTGAAAGAAAAAAATTATAGAACTAATAAATTAAGGACCTACTTCTCTGAAAAACTGATATAATAGACAAGCCTCTCTGGCTAGTCTGAAATAGAGAAAAAAGGAAAAAACATAAAAATAGAACATTAAGAATGTGGAAAGATTTTAAAAAGGTAAGATTTAAAAGAAGAAAATACAATAGGCATTTTATGTCAATTAATTTCTAAATTTGGATGAAATGGATTTTCTAGGAAAACAACAAGACTAAAGTGACTCAAAAGTGGCATAAAGTCTAAAATGTCAATCAATATAAAAACATTTGTAAAAGTTCCCAGATGCCCTTCCCCCACCAATAACACAATTCCAAAAGGCACCTGGCCCAGCTGGATTTGTAATTGAATTTTACCAAACCATCAAGGAACACATAAGACATATAGTTAAACTGTTCTGGTGCACAGAAAAAGGCAGAAAGTTTTAAGTTTATTTTATAAAGCTAGCATAACAGCTGCAAGATATACAAAGACATCACAAAGAAAAATATTACTATAGACTAACTTGAGTTATGAATACAGATGTAAAAATTGTAAATAAAACATTACCATTTGAATCCAGGTGTATATTTCAATAAGATGCTGTGAACAAACAGGGTATAATCTAGGAATGCTCAATTAAATTAGAGTACTTTGATTAGCTTGATAAATGTATTTGATAAAGCTCAACAATTATTTCTGACATGAACTCACAGTAAGCTAGAAATAGAAATCAACTTCCTTAACTTATAAAAAAAGCAACTTAGCAGAAACCAATATCAAAAAGAAAAATTAAAGGTAAAAATAAGAGGTTTCTCATCAAAGTCAATAACAAAACAAGGATGCAACTTTCACTGCTATTCCTCCAACATTACTATGGAGTCATAGTCAATTCTGTAAGACAAGGAAAAAATATAGAGATATAAATATTGGTGAAGAATAGTTATCAACCTACAAAATTCAAAAGAATCTAGTGAAAAACTATTATAATTAAGAGAGCTTAGAAAGATAGCTAGATAGAAGACAAATATTCAAAACTCACTATCTTCCTTATATTCCAGTAATAGTCAGATGGAAAATTTAATGGGATAAAATATTCCTAAAAGAACAAAAATCATAAAATATGTAGAAATAAACTGTATAAGACAGGTGTGAGACCTTCATAAAGACAACACTACAGAAAGAGAAAGATGTTCTCAATAGTTGAAGAGGAATACAATGCCTCTGGAACTAAGGATCAATATTGTAAAGATGACAATCCTTCCCAATTTACCTATAAATTCATTATCATTTCAATTAAAACTGTGAGTAGGAATGCAGGAATAAACTAATGGAACAACAGAACAAAACAGAGAACCCATAAAGAGACTCAGGTATAAGGGGATTTTGTATTTGATAGATGTAGAAAAATTATGATTTTTATTATTGAATAAATGCCATTAAAACAAATGACTATCTGCTTTGTGAAAAAGAAGTTAGATCTTTGCCTCTCATCATATAACAAAAATAAATTCCACATTGATAAAGATCTATACATAAAAATAAGAGTTCTGTAAACCACAAAGGAAAAAACTGTCATATTCAATCACATAAAATTAAAAAAAACTTTTGTATGGCTAAATATACCTTAACTAAGTTGAGAAAAAAAATTTGCATCATATAACAGAAAAAATGTTAATGTTCATAATTAAAAAAGCTCCAACTCAATAGAAGAAACAACCCAAAGGACATGAATAGAAGAAATAAAATTCACGAAAGAAATAAAAGACTCACCCTCACTAATTAAAGAAATGCAAATTAAAAAGCTCTGTTTCTCACATATTTCTAGGAGTACAGACTAGTATAATACTTTTGAAAGGTAACTTAGTTTTGGGGAAAAATATATGTAAATATAAATTGAACATTTTCTCCAATATAGCAATTCTACTTCTAGGGCTATTTTCCTAAAAAAAAAAAAATCCTATAAATATGTAAAGATATAAGTCTAAAAATGTTCATTTCATCAGCATTTCTAAATGAAAGATATGCTGAAATTGATGAAATAAACAGAGGACATAGTCATACACCAAAATACTATGTATATATAATATGAAATATATAGGAAGAGAGCCACAATTATTGTTCTATTAAGTCAAAAACAAAAATCTATTATAGATAGTATGCTATGTTCCAATTTTTGAAAAAATAAATAAATAAGTAAAGGCAAAGACAACAAATGTTCAACAAACATCTGTATGTCTACGCTAACTTCAGGGAAAGATACACTGCATACTAATCAATGAAGTTTGCTTAATTCTCGGAAATGGGACTTGGGGTAGAGGTGGAGGGAAACTTTCTGTTCCTACCTTATAATAAAAACATATATTCCTTTTATAATTAAAAAGACATTGAGGAAAGAAAAAAAGGAAGAGAGAAGAGGGAGGGCAGACAGGAGAGAGGGAGAGAAGAGAAGGGGCATCTAGGAGATGGAAGGCAATCAGGTATAGTAAAATAGAAGAGAAGCCACAACTTTAAAAGTGCCATGCAGCCCCCACAAACTTACCATCAGTGTCCTAGCTACATTACAACCCAGGGTGCCGGCTCCAAGCAGCAGACATTTGGCAGACACGACTTTGTCTAAGTCCAAAGTAGGCACCAATCTCCAACACATCAATTTGAGATTTAGATCCACTGATGACTCAGCTAACCTGAAAATGAGAGAATTATTTATCTATTCAGTCAATCACTCGTTTATGCCTCGATCTTGTCCTTTTTAGATAGGAAGTAGCTGTATGAGAAAACAAGAAATAAATACTAGGAAATCAGGATCAAAGAGAAAACAAGATGAAACGAGAGTAAGTGGAGAGGAAAAAGGTTACTGTACAGAATGCATGCCATCGTAGTCCTCTGCAATTGCTAGTGATCAGCTACGCATTTGATACTGAGCTCCTAGCAGCCAATATGAAAAGGGAAGCATGGCTGGTAATAGGAGTCGTTGAATCTATAGATAAAAACACACCGGCTGCTGAAAAGTATTTCCTAATACTGAAAACAGAGAAATGTTTTCTAATTCCCCTCAATAAAGGATGCACTTATACTCTCCCTTAAATACAATACTGGTTTCTGTGAAATATTTCTTAAATGTCCTTCAATGTAGGGTAATAGGACAAAACTAAAGGGAAATGAATAAAGGACTAAAACATGGTACAGGTCTACAGGTCCAAAAGTCTGAGATTGAAGCAAGAACAAAATTTAGAATGTCTAGATGAACAGGTGAACTGTGTGCCCTTTGGGGCAACTATCACCAATGCTAATTCCCACAACCAAACTTAAATTAAGAGTTAGGCAGCAAAGAGTGTAATAATACTCGCTGTTCATGTGAACAGCACCACCTGCACTAACCTGTGCAATGCCATTGGCCTGACAGAGCCTAGTGTGTGCAAAAGCCCCACTGGAGAAAATACCTTTCAAAATATACCTTTTAGGGTCCATACATTCACTGAGGTTCACCATCCTTGGTCCCATGCCTCCTTTCTGGTTCTTTTCCCATCCAACTGCTTTGGGACAATCTTAAGACAAATAAAACAAGTGTAATGAGGGAGACAGGAATAAAAACAAATAAGCAGCAAGGTGGCGCATTCATTGATAAGTTTTTAGTGCACATCTTTCTCAAAGAGGTTCTCGAGCCTTAATGTGCACCTCCTTGCCTCAGTTGCCTATCTTCTCGGCTACTAGGAATCTTGTTTAGAGGCCAGCAGACCCAAGCATAGGCTCCCTGTAGAGGGACTTCTCATATAGCCCTCAAGGCTGGCCTGAGTTGCTTTTACTTCTGCAGTTACTGCAAGTTGCTCATATAAAGACAATCATATTTAGGATTGGTATAACGCTGTGGAGGGTTCACTATCTCAGGAGATAGGCTGGTGTGATGGCAGCACAGCTTCTTCAATGGTTGAAGTTACCATTGGAATGTGAACAGTACGTCTCTTCTGTTCCTCTTTCTTATTATGTCCCTCTGCTCAGCTGCTCAACTCCATCATTGTGTACTACCTGTGGGCAGATCACAGTCCAAGAGGACTGTCCCTCTGTTAAGATGCCCTCTCATTTAAGTTCACCTTTATTCATCCAGATTTTCCCCTTCTCTGACTTATCTCTTTTAACCTCTGCTTCAGGTGCCTCTGTAATTCCAGCTCTATTAGTTCTCAATGCGTGCCCCACGCAATGCTCTGAGAGGATAAGGATCCTGAGGCTCACCAGATGTGGGAAATGCCTCTAGACCCATATCTATGTTCTCTATCCACTCCCTACCACCAACTAAAGATGGAGATTCATGTCACATATGAGGAAGATAAAAGCTCTGAGAAGCCTGCAGTAAAGGAACCACTTTATCTAATTTGGCTTTGTGTTTCCCAAATTTACCTGGCTTTCTCAGTATCTCCCTTCTTCACTGGTAACACATTCAAGGAAATGCGGCTCTATTCTAATGTTGCAAAATCCTATTAAAAACCTCAGTTGCTTTGTAGAATATTCCTGCTACCTCCTCACCTTAATGGAAATGTGGCATCCTTAGTGGAAAAGTGCTAAAGGGGTGTAGCCACTCTCTTATACTCCCCACATCCTAGGACCTTAGTCTCTTTCTCCCTAAATCCCTCGACTCCTTCACAGGGAATCCACCAAGCCACAACTTACCCTTCCAGCACCCCCTCCAATGGCTGCCTTGAATAAGTCTCTGAAGAAACAGAAATTCCTTGACTTAAGAGTTAAGATGTATGGGACTACTGGGAGAAATTTTGTTTCTAATTGTACATTGGTGTTCTTTGGCCATTCTCCTACTTTTAGATTTCTATCAACACCTCTATTTTCCTTTTCTTGGGAACTTTTTAGCTTTTGACCTTTTTTTTTTTTAAAATAGTTTTGCTTAATATAATTATGGGACCTAAGAGGTGTTGATTTCATTTACACAATATTTTCTTTGTGAAAAGATGAGATAGGATGACCAGTGGAAAACCATGGGGCCAATTATCCTTGAAAGCCACTTGGGCCCCAGTTTGGCTGGGGGTATCATACTCAGCAAGAAGCCAGAAAACAAATGTCTCTTCTCATTTTAACTCAGGCCTCTGGTGTAGTTCTATTTTTAGTATCATGAAAAACTAAAACTGATATAATAGATTTGAGTTCTTAAAAAAGTCAAGACTTCAAAATTCTCTTTTTGGGAAAAAGTTCAGACCTGTTATTAAATCACATTTTGATTTCTTAATAATTCTTACATTAAATAAAAATGCTTCTCTAATACATAGTATAAGAAACTTGATAAGAACGGTCTAGTACTGTAATTCATAACTCTAGCCTAAGCTTTATATGGTTACAGATAGGAAATCATAAGGCAGAAACAAAATATCATTTGAAATTAAAAGATCTCTGTACTCAAAATGCTATATCAATGTCTAAGAAAATTAGATGTACTTTAAACTTACTGATAAAGAAAAAAATACTATATATGACAATATTTAATCTATCATACCTGCCTCTATATAAACTACATCTATAAGACACACCCCAAATTAATGAGAAAATATTTTTTAGGGGAAAATTAGGACCTGTTTTCCCACAGTTGGGCAACCAGGAGGAGCACATCCAAGACAGGAATTAAAATGAGAGCTCTCCCACGCTCAGCAGTGTCTGCTACCTCCATTAGCCAGTTGCCAGAACATTCTCTGTATCAGCAGTGGTGGGCTTGGCTACACCATGAGAAGCAAAAGAAGATGTGAGATATTTAAAATTACACTTGCTATACCATTGCCATTGCAACTATGGGATGTCTTAAAAATATTAAAAAGTTCTGCCATATTAATACCTTCAGTTCACATTCTGATATAAAATAACCCAATAAAATTTTTCATTTATTATAAAATTTATAGCTGAGGGGAAACATAAGTCACATGAAAAAAAATTGCTTTTCCTAAACGAAATAATCTACACTCAATATCAAGCATTAAAAAAGATGTATTGAAGGAATTATTGGACTATTGAAAACCTCTTTTTCAAATGGCAATGTACAGTGTTTCTTGGGTTTGTCAGCTTCATCAAGCATCAGCAATTATTGGGAATGGGGAGTAAAAGTTATTCAATGACTTTATTTTAAAAATGCCTTCCCCGAGAGAGGTTGGAAGGATTGAGTGAAGTATGGAAGATGCATGTGGCCTGCCAGCTATACACCAGGCCGACATTACTTGTTGGTTAACTTCATTGCCCTAGAACTATCCTCAAGTTGTGGCTTAATAAAACAAAGGTGCAGCGTGTAAGTCAACAACACATCAAAGCTATTTTAGAATATGCCAGAAGAGGGTGCTAAATCAAATGCAAATATCTAAAGACAGCAGAAGGCAATGAATTGCTTATGGCTCTAAACTAACAAGGTAAACAGCTTCCTCCTTTGCCTAACCAAGCAGTTCTCTGTCAACCTGAGAAGTCTATTTAAGACATTTATCAGTGCTGCAGCCAAGACACACTGATTAAATGTCATCAGTGCCAATCCTGGATCCTTTTGACTTTTGCACTCTGGAAAGGACATCACAGAAGAGATTTTAACACCCCCAAACCCACACACACTTTAAGGCACATGACCTGTGGATTAAAGAATGCAATGTGCCTTAGAACCGTGTGGACATTGTAAGGAGCATATTAAACAATGTATGTGAAAGTACTCTGGAAAGCATGTAAGTCACAACAATCTGAGGGATAATTTTGGAGTGCCGGGCTTAGTGTGAGATAGGAAATTAACATAAATTAGCATTTATGAAGCACCTATAACATGCCAGACATTGCATTGTCTTTTACTCAGGATACAGATTCCTCATAAGGGATACTCCATGAGGTGAGAACGATTAGCAACTTTATTTACTCCAACTTCCATATATGTTCTCTGTGACCTATGTATAAATATAAATGTGTGTGTGTGTGTGTGTATGCACATATATATACACACACACATACACATACCCATGTAAAATGTCTCTGAGCCTAAGTTTCCTAATTTATGAAAGGGGATTAATAAGTGATGTCTACCACACAGGACCAAGTGAAGAACGTTAATGTGGAAGGAGAAACGGCACTTTTGCTCACTGGTTTACTGTGTGGAGAAAAGGTCCACAAACAACTTTAAGTTTGTAACAAATAAGTATGTAAATGCATTAATACTTCATTCTTCATTTAAGAAGGGTCAGGAATAAAGATTTTGTCTTAAGCAAAAACAAACAAAACTAGAGGGAGAAAAAAATTCTTAAAATTGAAAAACCTGCCTGGAAGAAATTTTTTTGGGACAATCTTTGCCTTTGTTCCTGTCTGAATAGCAGTGCTGCCCTCAGTTCAAGGGAGGTGTTCCATTGGCAAAGAGGTAGGAATTGTACTTTTCTCTCCCTTCTGCTGCCATTGTGAAAGGATGAAAGGAAAGTTAAACCTGATTCAGTTTCTGATAAATGATAATTATCAGCATTCTCAAAGACTGGCAAATTACCTGGGCTAAATGCCATTTCTGGAAGCTTCACTTCGAAGATGATGCTGTGAGTGATATCTCTAACCCCCTGCATGGTGCGGTCCCTGAAGCAGAGAACTTCGACAGATGGGAAACAGCTACTCCTGGTGTCAGGCCCCAGATTTTTTTTTTTTTTTTTTTTTAAGGAAAGAAAAGAAAGAGCTCACATAAGAATTTCAGCAAACCCAGTTGGAGAGAATTCAATTCATTGTAATTATGCCTGCCTGACACCTTGGGGAATGGCCTTAAACTTTGAGATTTTGAACACATCCATGTATGCTTCCTTTGTCTAATTGTGTAGAGGCTGAAGGCTGAATAGGCTGTGATTTCTTTCTAGGTGAATTTTATATAACAATCACATTGCACATAAATAATTCTAACAAATGAATCTTAAATTTGTCAGAATTTAAGGAAGAAAAAGAGCTCACAAGACATTAAAAAGAACCTCTAAGGCATGCATGCGTTCTTTTGGTCACCCTTCTCTTCATCTGAACTTACATTCCATGAAACCACACCTCAGTCAGTAGTTAGGAAGCCAATTTGTACTATATAGACTGACCACCTGGATAAGGAAGTATAACCATTCTCTCTCTGGGGACAAGCTATAACTCATTTTTTTTTTAAGTAACTATTTTTACTCAAGTAAAGCAGACACAAAGGCAAGTATACAAATCTTAAAGAAGGTTGTCTCATGGCTTCTTCCAGTTATTAACCACCTCCTTCAAAAGTAACTATTACTCTAACTTCTAAGTCAATACATAGCTATTGCCTGTTTTGATCTTTATAAAGATTTAGGAATCATAGAGTATGTATTCTTTTATATCTAAGCTTATTTTTCAACATTATGCTTTTAAAACTGATCTACATGGATACATGTATCGGTAGTTCATTCAGATTCACTACAACATAGCGTTCCATTGCAATGAATTTACTATCCATTTCACTGTTTTGGGTTATTAAGACTAATGCTGCTATAAACATTCCGGTATATATATTTTGCTTATATCTGAGTAAGCATTTATGTGTGTTATATACCTGAGAGTGAAACTTCTGAGCTACAGATATTTTTAAATTTGATATATACTGCCAGTTTTCCAGCAGTGTTTGAGAGTTCCAATTGCTCCACATCTTCGACAACACATGGTATTGTCATTTTTAAGTCATTCTGGCAGCTATGTAGCAGTATCTATCTCATTATTGTAGCTTATTATCTTTATTAATAAGTAGTATCTTATTTTATTTCCTTGATGATTAAGGATGTTGACCATCTTTTCAAATGTAAAGGTATCCCGTTTAGATTATTTTAGGGTTAGGCTAAAAAGGAGCTTGGTAGCAACAGAAAAATCCTATCTGAAAGCAACCCAAGCAGCTGAAGGGAAGGCTGGAGAATTTCAAGGTTAGGAACTCTGGCTGCTTGCCTTGCCATACTTTAAAATGTCTTTGGTCACAGTCTGAAGCTCCATAATAGACCTGCTTAGTGGCTCACCGTTGATGGAAATTGGATCATGACTGATTTATTGATTTATTTATTATCTGGTTTCTATGCCAAAAATGAAAAAAATGCATTTGGGAAAACTATAGAGATACAGATATAGGCAGATACATGGTCAAAAACATATAGACAGACACAGACAGACAAACAGATACACACACACACTACACACACACACACACACACACACACACGTGTAAATACCATCTGTGGGCTGCTAGGACCAAAAAATTCCTCAAAGGCCATCCGGGGTACTGCGCTAAGTTACAGGGATCATATACACCAATTGTTATCTGTGAACAGAAAAGACTTCCTGAGTAAGTATCATGTCAGATTCACAATACAGACATTGCTAATACTTCCTCTCCCCTTTTTATGTTGTTCTGCAAAAGCATTAACAATTAGACACTTGGTGAAGGGCTAAAGGGAAGAGAAGAAAGCAAACTGATGTCACACTAGACAGAACTTTTTGAGGGCAGGAGCTGTCAGATTCTTCCCTGCACCCCCTGTACCTTGTATCGCGCCTGACAGAGAGTAGAAACTAGATACATTTAAAAGGGAGAAAGACTGAAAGGAAGACAGAGAGAGAGAAGAAGGAAGGGAGGGAGGGTGAACTGTCAACTCTCAGGGCTCACATAGAAAAGAATTGTCTTTTAAATAGATGTAATCTGTGAAAGTTGCTAATTTTTATGTAATGAGAAAATCAAAGAAGGGCCACTACAATTGTAAATCTACAGTCAGATCAAATTAAAAAGCCAGATGCTCTTAATCGCTGACATATTTTTCCTCTCACTACCCACACCCCAACCCTGACCTCCATTTGGAAAACTTCACTCAACTTCAAATACCATTTCTTCAGTGATGGAGCCCCTTGGCAGAAGTGGTTACTCTGTCCTCTCTGCTTTCACAGCTCTTTGTTAATTATACATAACATTTTTCACTTTTTCTGTCTCCTTCCTCTCAAAAGACAATGAGCACTGAGCACCTAGCTATGATTTCTAATTACCATTTTACAATAAAAGGAATCAGGATTCCTTGGACACATGTCAAATTATAGGGCTAACACAGGGAAGATACAAGATGAACCTGGAGCATCTTGTATACCAGAAAGGAGGGAAGTGCCAATAAACAAAAAGATGGGGCATGTCAAGGAGATACTGGAGCCAACTGAAAGAGCTATCAATAGCCAAGGTTGGACAAATATGGGCAACGAAATAACTAATGTAGAGTTAAATTATACCCCATAGTATAAAATAAATCTCTATGAGTCTGTCCTGATATAAATGATGGGATAAATATATGAAAATGAAAGAACCAGTCTTCCTTACAGAAGACTTCCAAACAATGTATGTAGATATTGCCCCCTCCAGGAGTGGAGCTTAATCCTTCTCCTCCATGAGAGTGGGCTGGACTTAGCGAATCACATCCAAAGAAAAAATAGTAACTTTACAGTGAAGAAACCTGGCAAATACTACTTTAACTAAGTGATCAAGTTTAACATCACCAAGGAGGCCTTGTGGGTATCAGGTACCCCCTGAAATGATGTGATGAAAAGGGTACTTCACCTGGTATTCTTTCCAAAAATCCATAACCCCAGTCTAATAAGAAAACATCTGAGAAACCCAAATTAAAAGGCATTGTACCAAAATAACTAATCAGTACTACTCAAAACTGTCAAGGTCATCAAAAACAAGGAACATGTGAGAAACTGTTACAGACCAGATGAGACTAAGGAGACCTGACAACAAAATGCAACGTAGTTTCCTGGATTGAGTCCTGGAACATAAGGAGGATGTTACTGGAAAAACTGGTGCGAGCTAAATAAAGTCTAGAGTTTAGTTTATAATAATGTACTTAATGATGGTTTCTCAGTTTTGATAAATGTACCATGGTAATGTAAGGTGATAACACTAGAGTAAACTGAAACAAGGTGAAAGTATATGGGAACTTTGCATTATCTTTGCAACTTTTCTGTAAATCTAAAATTATTCTAAAATAAAACATTTATTAAAAAAAGAAGATAATGAGCATCTAGAGAACAGGCAGTATCTCTCCATGATCAGCTCAAAGATACACAGCAGATACTTAGTGAATGCTTATTGAATGATGAAAAAAGATGGATGGATGGATGAAAGGAGGGAAGGAGGAAAGATGGTTGGAAGAGAACCATAAGTTAACCCAAAGGTATAGCTGTGGGTTAAATAAAAACATGGCAGAAAAACTTTGGCTACTCTAGATGGTTAGTTCTGGAAGAATGGGATCAGCCCAAACACTTCTGTTTATTCTCCACAGTGCTGAGTACAATGTCAGCAACAAAGAAGGAGCTTAACCAATATTCAGATGAAAGAGACACAAAGACAAGAAAAAGGAAGGAAGGATATAAACTCATAACACCGTCATTCAGAGAACCAGTATTAAAAACTTGGTGTGTAATTTCCCCTAACTTTTTTCTTTACATAAATATATTATTATTATAACTTTTAAATGAAAATGGCATCATGGTACAAATACTGTTTTATACCTCTTATTCTATTGTGAACTCTCTTCCATGCTAATGTCATTCTACAACCACTGTCAGAAGTGGCTGAATGGCATTCCACTATATCGATGCATCGCAACTTTTTTCCATTTCCTATTGGAGGACAATTGAGTAGTCTTCATCTCTGCTCAATAAATCTCGTTTTATTATTGTTTTATCAGATAACTACTGCATTATTTCAAAGATATTCTTTGAAAATGTTTGCTGCCTTCTACGCTATAAATTTTCTTATCCCTAAGACTGAAGCCTTTTGCCCAGGTGCATTTTTGAGTCTTAAATGCAAACAGATTCATATTTAACTCAATACAAACAGATTCACATGTACGATCATCCTTCAAGAAATACAGGATGCCTTTATTTGAAAATACCTTTTCCACAGGGAGATAAAACATCTGCACCTACAGTGCTTTTAAAAATAGAGCTTGCAAAGACTATTCTGAGTACTGCCACTTAGTGAGTGGACTCAGGCAAATTAGTCAAATCCTTCGGGCCTCAGTTTTATTCATCTGAATCATGGAGGAAATAACAGTACCTACTTCATAGAGTTGTGTGAGGATTAAATAAGATTGTCCTGAACATGAAAAGCCCTGCACGTGTGTAGCACTACTCACATCATTGTTAGTGACTCCAAATCTCCATTGGTGAGCCTACCCATCTGTATCTGCAAAATGTACCTGAGTAATTCTGATGCAGTTGGTCCAGTTCATGGACCTAAATTTGGGAATCATACAGAGTCTTCTTGTAGATAAAAGGAAAAAAAAAATTTTGTGGGACTATTTTTCATTACCTTGAAAACTGTGGGTTGACTCTATGCCTTCCCACATTCAGCAAAAAGTGGTCCACTACCAGCAGCATTGGCATCACCTGGGGGCCTGTGAGAAATGCAGAAATTCAAGCTGTCCCCTGGCCCACTAAATCGAATCTGTATTTTAACAAGGACCCAGGTGATTCCCATGCTCACTGAAGTTAGAAGGCTATTTGCTCCATTCCTCAACTCTCTCTAGCTCTGGTTCTCATATTTGAATGCGTGTGGGAAGCACTTGGGGAGCTTTCAAAAAGCCCGCTGCTTGGGTCCCACCTCCAGAGGTTCTGATTTAATCAGCATGGGGTGTGGTTTGAGCGTTAGTTGTTTTAAATGCTGCCCAGGTGATTCTAATGTGCAGCCAGGCTGCTAATCACTGCTTGAGAGTATGCAATAGTTTCTCAAATGTGGGCCACCACAGACCCACTTGCATCAGAATTTCCTGGGAAGTTCTTTGAACTTGTACCACATGGAACCAATCCCAGACCTCCCTATGTACAATACCTGCATGTTTCAGTGACCTCTCTGTGTGATTCTTATGCACACTATCATTTCAGCACTAGCTGCCTAGAGTCTAAGAAGGAGAAAACAAGCACTTGCTTAAAATAGGGTTCATTGCACTCTATATTTTTCCTTATGGTAACTGATTATTTGTTGAACCTCTGTATTTTCTTGATTCAAAGGTACCATAGATTATAAAGTGCAACTTTCAAACTGGATAGAATGAAAGCAGAAACATCACAACAGTAAATATACACAATAATTGCTAAGAAATTCCCGACTTTAGAAAAATTACGAAAATAAAAAAAGCATTTGACAATGGTGAAAATACAGGATCCATTTCATATCTGTTTCTCTTGATGGTCTACAAACTCTGTGAGGGCAGGAACAGTGTCTACTGTATTCACCTTTCCATCGCTAGCACTTGGCATAGTACCTGATGCTCAGCAAATATTTGTTAAATACATGACAGAATTGGTCAATTTCTCCAGGCCCCGATATATGAAAAGCTCTCCTCCCTCTCCAATGTTGGGCAGGAATCCTGGGAGGCAGCTAAAGGGGGAATGTCTGACCAACAGAGACCTGAAGCTTACATATAAAACATTATGCAGCACCTTGGCCAGTTCCTTTTCCTTTCCCAGCATAGCAGGCCCTCCATTCAATAACATTTTAACACTGGGATTCTCTTGGGTGAGAATGCGAGAACATGGTCCAAAAGAGGATTTCTTATGAGAAGCAAGAGAACTCTGAGAATGAGATCTCTGGTCTATAGCTCCCTCTGAATGAGGAAGTTGTCTTCCTGGAGTTCTTCTGGTCCAGTGGGTCACTGCCACCACTGAAACACCTTTTTATTTTGTTTCCCTCTGTCAATTGTGACAGACAGTATCTGCTAGACAAACTATATTTATTAAGTAATCATTGCTTCAACTTCATTTTTTAAAATTCATCAAAGGCATTTACACCTCTGATACCCAGCAAGAAAAGGGGAAGGGACAAGTTGACATTCTACTTCTATAACATTTGAAACAGGTTAAAAGAAAATAGCCTGATGGAAGGGGTTTTAAAAAAAGCACTGGCTGGAAAACAAGCAGGGATAC